CACTCAGCCCGTTTCTATTCCACCATATCATATGGCACCGACAGAGTTGAAAGAGTTGAAGGAGTAGATTCATGAACTCCTTGATAAGGGGTTCATTCGGCCTAGTGTGTCACCTTGGAGTGTGCCTGTTTTATTTATGAAGAAGAAAGATGGCACGATGAGGATGTGCATTGACAACTTTATGAAGAAGAAAGATGGGCACATGGTGTCTAGTGAGGGTATTCAAGTTGATCCAAAGAATATAGAGGCGGTTTAGAGTTGGCCCAAACCGTCCTTAGCCACAGATATTCACAACTTTTTTTGTTTGGCGGGATATTACCGTCGGTTCATTCCGGAATTTTCATCTATTGCATCACCCTTGACCAAATTGACTCAAAAGGGTGCTTTATTCAGGTGGTCGGATGAGTGTGAGGAGAGCTTTCAGAAGCTCAAGATTTCCTTGACCAGAGCTCCAATGTTAGTTATGTCATCAGCTTTAGGTTCATATATAGTGTATTGTGATGCTTCGATAGTTGGTATTAGGTGTATGTTAATGCAGGAGGGTCAAGTGATTGCTTATGCTTCTCGTCAGTTGAAGCCCTGTGAGAAGAACTACCCTGTTCTTGATCTAGTTGGCTACCATTGTTCATGCGTTGAAGATTTGGAGGCATTATTTGTATGGTGTGTCTTGTGAGGTTTTTACTGATCATCGTAGCCTCCAGCACTTGTTCAAGCAGAAGGATCTCAATTTGAGGCAGTGGAGATGGTTGGAGCTGCTAAAGAATTATGATATTACTATCTTGTACCATCTGGGAAAGGCCAATGTGGTGGACGATGCCTTGAGTTGGAAGATGGTGAGTATGAGGAGTTTGGCGTATATTCCTGTTGGGGAGAGACCTCTTGTAGTTGATGTTCAGGACTTGGCCAATCGGTTCGTGAGGATGGATATTTTGGAGCCCAGTCGGGCATTGGCTTGTGTGATTTCTTGGTCTTCTTTATTTGATCGCATCAGAGAGCGCCAGTGTGATGATACTCATTTGCTTGTCCTTAAGGATAGAGTTCAGCACAACGATGCCAGAGATGTGACTATTGGTGGTGATGGGGTATTGAGGATCCAGGGATAGATATGTGTGCCAAATGTAGATGGGCTTCGGGAGTTGATCTTAGAGGAGGCTCATAGCTCGCGGTATTCCATCCATTCGGGTGGTGCGAGATGTATCAGGATTTGAGACATCATTATTGGTGGAGAATAATGAAGAAGGATATTATGGGATATGTAGCTCGGTGTCTCAACTGTTAGCAGGTGAAATATGAGCATCGGAGACCGGGTGGCTTGCTTCAGCAGATAAATATTCCAGAGTGGAAGTGGGAGCGGATCACCATGGACTTTGTAGTTGGGCTCCCATGGACTTTGAAGAAGTTCGATGTTATTTGGGTGATTTTGGATCGACTGACCAAGTCCACGCACTTCATTCCTGTATGTACTACCTACTTTTCAAAGTGGTTGGCAGAGATCTATATCCAAGAGTTTGTTCGTTTGCATGGTGTCCCAGCTTCCATCATTTCAGATAGAGGTACTCAGTTTACTTCACAATTTTGGAAGGCCGTGCAGCGAGAGTTGGGTACTCAGGTTGAGTTGAGCACAACTTTTCACCCTCAGATGGACGGACAGTCTGAGCGCACTATTCAGATATTGAAGGACATGTTGCGCACTTGTATCATTGATTTTGGAGGGTCATGGGATCAGTTTCTACCGCTCGCAAAGTTTGCTTCCGACAACAGTTATCATTCGAGTATTCAGATGGATCCATATGAGGCTCTGTATGGGAGGCGGTGTAGATCTCCCGTTGGTTGGTTTGAGCCAGGTGAGGCTAGGCTTTTGGGTACAGACTTGGTGTAGTATGCTTTAGACAAGGTGAAGGTGATTCAGGAGCGGCTTCGTACAACGTAGTCAAGACAAAATAGTTATGCTGACAGGAAGGTTCGTGATGTGTCTTACATGGTTGGGGAGAAGGTTCTATTGAAGGTTTCACCCATGAAGGGTGTTATGAGATTTGGGAAGAAGGGTAAATTGAGTCCTCGGTTCATTGGGTCTTTTGAGGTGCTTCGAAGGATAGGGGAGGTGGCTTGTGAGCTTGCTTTTCCACCTAGCTTGTCGAGTGTGCATCCGGTATTTCATGTTTCTATGCTCCGGAAGTATATTGGCGATATGTCTCATGTTTTCGATTTCAGCACGGTTCAGTTAGAGGGAGATTTGACTTATAATGTGGAGCCAATGGCTATTTTGGAGCGTCAGGTTCGAAAGTTTAGATCAAAGGATGTAGCTTCAGTGAAAATGCAGTGGTGAGGTCGGCCCGTGGAGGAGGGTACCTGGGAGATCGAGCAAGAGATGCGGAGCAGATATCCTTACCTATTTGAGGCTTCAGGTATATTTCTTGACTAATTCGAGGAAGAACGTTTGTTTAAGAGGGGGAGGATGTAACGACTCGGCCGATCGTTTCATGAATTACCGCTCTGTTTCCCCCATTTTTGCTTCTTTATGCCTTGTTCAGCTGTATTATGTGGTATCAGATTGGTTGGATCGAGTTCAGAGTGGTTTTGTAGAGAAATAAGACACTTAGTCTCTTAAGATGGCCTTTTAGTTGGAAAAGTCAATCAGAAGTTGACTTGCAAGAAAACGATCTCAGAATTTGGTTTTTATGATTCTGATAGCTTTGTGAGGTGATTTGGGACTTATGAGCGTGATCAGAATACATTTTGGAGGTCCGGAGTAGATTTACGCTTGAATTGACGAAATTGGAATTTTGGCATTTTCCGGTTGGTAGCAGAGATTTTGATATAAAGGTCGGAATGGAATTCCGAAAGTTTAAGTAGGTCTGTTGTGACATTTGTGACGTGTGTGCAAAATTTCAGGTCATTCAGACAAGGTTTGGTAGACTTTTTGATCGAAAGCGGAATTTGGAGGTTTTAGAAACCTTAGGCTTGAATCCGAGGGTGTTTTGATGATTCGATGTTTTTTTTAGTGTTCCGAAGGTAGGTATAAGTTTGAATAGTGTTATATGACTTGTTCGTACTTTTGGTGGACGTCCGGGGGGGCCTCGGGATGAATTCGGAAGATTTTCGGATAAGTTGGCTTTGGAAAGGAGCAGCTGAAGTTGCTACCCCTGTCATAATCGCACCTGTGGATAGGGGACCGTAGGTGCGTGATCGCAGAAGCATTGGGGAAGCCGCAGAAGCGGCCAGCGCCTAGAGGACCAGAAGTCGCAGGTGCGAGAGCTTGAACGCACCTGCGAGACCGCAGGTGCGGAAGGAGAGGCGTAAATGCGGTCCCTGGAACTTAAGTGAAAACCGCAGAAGCGGTACCGCAGGATCATAAAGAGGACCGCAGGTGCGAAATCCCTGGGTCAGAAAGTATATAAGGTTTCCTTCGCGAATTTTTGCTAAGTTTTCTATTTTTGAAGACGGGAAGTGAGCTAGGGTAGTGATTTTCAAGGGGAAATCGAGGATTATCAGTTGGGTAAGCTACCTAAGCTTCATTACTTATGTTTATGACCATTTTTCCATTATTTAATCATGGTGTTAGTGGAAATTAAGGATGAAAATTGAAGGATTAGGGCTTTATATTGGAGATCTTTGAGTGGGGATTTAAGGGTTCATTTGAGGTCCGATTTTGATGTTTTTGGTATGAATAGACTCGTGGGAGGATAAGTATTCTATTGATTTGGTTTTTATCAGATTTTGAGACGTGGGTCCAGAGGTCGAGTTGGACTAACTTCGGGATTTTTGATGTAGTTTGATTATTTTTTGCATGGGCTTCGTTCCCTTAGCATATATTGATACTATAATTCTGATTTTGGTTAAATTCGACGCGAGTTTAAGCTGAGTCGAGAGGAAAGGGCGTCGCGGAGTAGTATTTCATCCGGTGATTATTATTAGCGTAGTCGACTATGAACTACAGATCGGGTTGCACGCTGCAGCGATTATTATTATTATTATCATTATGAGATATCTATTGAGTCGGAGTGCTTAATGTGAGTACTAATTGGCGAGAGCTACATCACGAGTGACTGAGAGGCATGCCTGAGAGGCTATACTTATGCGTTGATGTCTATTTTCCAGTTTCTACACTCTTCTTCACGATTTTTTAACAAGTTCAACACCTTTCATGGACTTCAAATGATCTTTAAATTCTTCTTCATATGTGCTCCAATCACACCACCACAACAACTTCTTTAACTCCAAACCCCTCCACTTCTTGCTCCAATTAGCTTATGTATGCCTAACACACCATATATGATTTGCACTAGGAAGCACAGTAGAAACATCAAGTAGATCCTACAATTATGAAAACAAGCAGTTAAACATATAATCAAACTAGTACAAAGAAACATGTGGATAAAAATAGTTAGATATTACCTTTTGCATATCAGACATAAATGTCACTCCTTCACCCTCTTGTAAATCCAAGGAATTTCTTAGCAACTCTAGAAACCACTTCCAAGTCCTACCAGTTTCTTTATCAACCATTGCCCAAGCTAGCGGATGAATGTAATTCACTGAATCTTGTGCCATAGCAACAAGTAATATTCTCTTACACTTTCCATTTAGAAAAGTGTCATCCAGACCTATTAAAGGTGTCAATCCTCCTTTCCGACCATTTTTCAAAGTATAGAAGAAAATATACTTTCTGAGAAATTTTCTTTTTCCTTGTTCCAAAGCATCTTTGGATATGTTTATCACCACATCAGATCCAGGATTGCTATCCCTCAACTCTTGAGCATAAGCCTCTAATCTCTTGTAATCATCAATGTAGCTACCCTCTAATTTCTCTAACACAAGTCTTTTAACCCTTTTCATTGTGGAATAGCTAACATTAAGTTTGAATTGATCCTCCAGATCCACTCTCATGTCTTCCAATTTATACTTTGGATTATTTTGAACCTTGTCCTTGAAATAGTGTGCTAAAATATTGGCAGTAGCTCTTCTATTTTTATAAGTTGGGTCACAGTTATGTTCCAAGTTTATGTGTTAATTTTAAATCCCTGATCTTTTCGATCCTTGGATAAATGGCACCCAAAAGGATATCCTATGTCATATTTATATCTCGCCCTAGTAGTGTCACTCTTCTTTATTTTAAGGCTCTTGCTAGTAGCAACTCCATAAAATTCCGCAACTCTTTTAGCTTCAGCCAAGCTTTTAAAACTCATTCCCTTTTCTATTTCTTTGTATTTTTCTAGTTTATTAGTTACTTCTTTAGTCATTTCCTTCCAGAAGACTTCCAACTGCTCACGATCATAGTCACTAGAATCAGTTTCACGAGCACCCTCTTCATCAGAGGAGTCACAATCAGTACCAACCTCTAATGTGACAATATTTTGTTCATTATACTGAATAATGTTAGGAACTATTACTTGTTCTTCACCTTCATGTATAGCAAATAACTGAACCACATTGAACTTGGCAGATAATACATATATTAATTTTCTAATGCCCTCATCACCTTCAACCACATAGTATCTACCTGAAGACCCTGTGATTAAAATTTGTTTCACCTCCCTTAACCTAAGGACTTCGGTGTATTCAACACAAATATCAATATAAGACAGCATATCCACATCATATCCTTGCAACACTTGATTAAGATTTTTAATGTAAATTACTTGAGGCTTCAAGTCCCATCTGCTCCTATAATTAAAGACCAAGTCTGTCTTCTCAAGCATTCTACAAAAAAAGTCATATACAAGTCATAGAGTAATAACCTTTCTTTTTTAAAATATGAGCCGTTAGTTGGAGTGGAATGTAAGGTCCAGGAAAATAACGTTAGGGATACCAATGGCCTAATAAGTGGACGAAGGTTATTTTTAACCATGAAACTATAGTTCAGGGTTAGTTCTGGCCCTTTTCCATATATATTTCGGTATTTATTCTTTTCCTTCTATTTGAACGTAAAAGAATAATAGTAATCGTCTTGATGAAGTTTAAAAGCAATAACAAAAATAGAGTTACAATTTTATTTTGGTAAAGGTGTTAAGATCTTAATGTTATGTATTATAATTGATTTCCCTATCATTATTTGATATAATTGAGTGGATTTTGGTTAGATTCGATTGGTTTGGACGAGGATTTTAGAGGAAAAGCTCCGGTAGAGTTTTGATTTTCATGCGGAGCGAGGTAAGTGTTGGGTCTAACCTTTATTTTATGGAATTAGGAACCCTTGAGCTATGTGCTATGTGAATTACATATATAGCGGCGTATATGCGAGGTGACAAATGTATATATGCCGTCAAAATACTTGCTTTCATACTTTTCTGTTTTCATTATTTATTTTATTCTATTCTTAGTTGTCACATGCTTTAATTGCTTCATATGCCTTAATTTGCTACTTGTCATTTATTATTATGGTATTATAATAATAGTTTCCCCCATGCTTTCATGATTTAATTGTTACTTGCCTTACTTGTACACTTTAACTGTCATATATTCAGATTGTCTTGTTTCTTATTGTACATTGTAGCACTTATTGGTTCGGTCCGAGATTTCCTTTATGGCTTTGCTTTCATATTCCTTATTCGTAGATCTTCTTGTGAAATGAGTTGCGAAATTTATTACATTTACTGATTTTTACCTATGGATCGGGTTGCATGCCACAACAGGTGGAATAAGGGAGGATTGACATGGTTAAATAAGGGAGAATTATGATATTGACTCTGATTATATGGTGGGATTCGGTTGCATGTCACAACATATTTTTCTTGTTATTATTGATATTTACATGGTGGAATAAGGGAGAATCGTGTTTGTACGGTGGGATCGGGTTGCACGCCGCAACAGTTTATGTGTTTATATTCCTTATTGTGTTGTATTGGTTTCGATGTTTTTGTACGAGCCCTTGAGGATTGGTATTTCTGGTTTTACTGGTTTTCAAGGATTGAGTTATTTTTGTGAGTTAACTGCCTTATTTTTCTGTTTTTCCCTTTCTTGTCATTATTATTACAATGTGGACAGGTTATTGTAAGTGACCCGTCTTAGCCTCGTCACTACTTCATCGAGGCTAGCCTCGACGCTTACAGAGTACATGAGGTTAGTTGTACTCATATTACACCCTGCACTTATTGTGTAGATTTTGGAGTCGGTCCCGACAACGGTCAGTAGATTACTCGTCTTGACTATCGGACGGAGACTTGAGGTACAACTGCTCGGCATTTGCAGCCCTGAAGTCCCCTTCTACTTTATCCTAGATGTGTATTCTTTTCAGACTGTTTTACATTCATTCAGACCATTATCTGTATTATTCTAGTAGCTCGTGCACTTGTGATACCAGATCTGGAGTTGTATTTAGATATTTCAGTTGTTATGACTTTTCACACTTTATTTCAGTCATTTCAGTTTAATTGGCATCTGTTAATTTGATTTGCTGAAAATGTCTCACAACTATTCTAGCGTTGACTTGTCTAGCAAGTAAAATGTCAGGCGCCATCACGATCCCGAGAATGGGAATTCCGGGTCGAAACAGTATCCATCAAACTCTTTTTACTTAATCCGTATTTTATTATGGTGCCAAATAAATATAAAACTGAATAAGTCATGAAAAATGATCATTTACTGGCAAATGCAAATCTTTCACAGTGNTTTACTGGCAAATGCAAATCTTTCAAAGTATTGTATTGCATATAGAAGGAACGTCAGAAATTTTAAAGAAAGAGATCCTTTCACAAACATAACGAAAAGTACCAATTATAGAAAAATAACGTATATTATTTTCTACACAAAATACAAACTCTTTATCCGTATAGCCGTGAATAATAAATCAAACAGACTCAATAAATTAAACAGACTCAGTATACATCATTGTCATCTCAGTTTTTGGACTTTTATTCTTCTGCTTCTTTGTTTGTCTAAACTCTCCGTAAAAGTATGAGATGAAACCCCAAAGAGAAAGAAAAAGAGCAAGGCCCTTTTCACCTGAAAAATTTTCCCTAAAGAAAACTACAGCTAATACCTCAGTAACAGGAAGTAGAACTGCGATCATAACCCCAGACATCAGAGAAGAAGAGCAGTAAATGACTCCAATGACACCCACAAAGAAGCATTGCCAAATAATGGTAGTCCATACTATCACTGTATAATATCTAGCTTCTCCGAGGTTAAATTGTTTTGCCTCCCTTGATATTGCCTGCAAATTTTGATCATTATCTTAATCCTTGCTCTTTAATAAGATAGTGTATAGCTAAAACAAAATTAAAACCGAGAAAGTATATCTATGATATATCATCTTTTAGGCAAATATGTTCGAATCCAATACAGTTCCAGTTTTCATACATTTTTGACATATTCAAATTTTGATAGAACGCATCATGTACGCAAAATATCTTAATCAGTCTAAACCCACGATATTGATGTATTCCAAATTTAAAAAATGAATTCCATGACAAATGAGTCTTCATCTGTATATGTGGGATATGAATAATTTAGGGTTTCGACCTAGTTCCTTCATTACTGTCCTATTACACGCTTTTGTTATCTTTTGTCATTAAGATCAGAAACTTTTACGGGAAATAAAAAAAAATAGATGAAAAAAGGGAAAAAAAGAATATAAGAAATCCTAAAGAGGGAAATTGTATGTACTATTGATCATCTCCTAAAGAGAAGTTGAATAGACTTCTCATTTGAAGGCCTTAGGGATCTAATGGTAATAAAAGAGAAATATTTTACGATCTCGTTTTCAATATATGTGACGTAATTTGCGTCTTGACTTGAAATTTAAGAATTTTTTTTTTATGAATCTTGGGTCTTCAACATATTTTATAATATTTGTGTCTTTAAGACTTTTTAAATTTGTGATTTTAAACTTGCATAATATTGTATAGTTATTAAAAACTTCTTATTAAAGGTAAAACGGGAAGTTTAAAGTTAAATACTTTCAAATGCATAATTGTGTCATTTTATCTAAAATGGACTAATACTGAAAATTCAAATTATTTACCCTTAAATTGTAAAGTTCTTTTTATAAGGTTATCAATTACTAATATATGATAAAATTTACCTGTAATTTTCTTGTAAATGACTTGACTAAAACAATTTAAATTGACAATGCATAGAATTTAAACGCACAAAATAATACTGTAAGATAACTGCAACAAGGAGTAAGATGTGTGGGTAGTGTTGAGTTGGGGGGGGGG